GGGTGGGGGGGCCGGGGGGGGGGGGCATGGGAGTCGTGCTGTGTCGAGACAATTCCTGACAGCTGTGTTCACGTGAAAGGCTGGAATACGATACGGAATATAATATTTAATTCATAAGATTTTCTCCTCCGGTGGGCGAATACGCCAGCGACTCCAGTTGAAGATGAAGAGCTTGGACGTGCCGTGAGCTCTGGTCAGGGTTCTGAAAGGCCCGCCCTGCCCCTCTGCCACTCAGGACCACACATGCGCGCACCTTCAATGTTATCTCAAGCCCTCACAGAAACATAATAGAGGTTTCACGTGTTGCTGAAAATTACACGCGCTCGCTACGGTTTCCTTCCTTCCTTCAGCTTGGAAAGAGGTTGTTTTCATTTTTGGGGAAAAAGTGTGAGTGGATAATGACAGCCAGCGTGGGAGCGAGGGCTGGGCGATACGGCCTCAAAACAAAATCGGCCATCTTTTTCACAAAGATCTGATGTCCTGATTTCATCGATGTCTCCCTTTGACACATGACTCAACCGGTTCTGCTTTTACTTATACCATTTTTTTTTTTTTTTTTACATATACAGTGATGCCTTGTGATTTTTTTTTTTAACCTCCTGAATTTAAAGCAGGAATGATTCTCCTTCTTGGAACTATGACAACTGGACTCACGATTTATTAATAACCTGGTTCAGTGGCGTTTAGTGCCAACGCTTCACTGATTCACTTGCTCGTCGACACAGTCACAAACATTCAAGAAGAAATGTAATTTGCAGGGGCCAAAGTAGATTTTCTTTGCTCGGTTCGTATATGCCATGGGAAATTTTGACATTTTTGTGTTTTTTTTCTCTCCTAGTGGTCTTTTTTTTTTGTGGTGTCTGGAGAACTGTTTTTGGAGTCGCAAGGAAAATAAAGAAGAGGGAAATGTTTCGTATCGAATGGCGCAAGCGCAACCGAAACACGCATATGAAATTGCTTTTAGAGTTTCTATGAAGAAAAAAAAAAAATGAGGGTGGGGGTCAGATCATCAGATCACTGGCAAAGACGGCTGACCGCTGAATTCTTGTTCGACCCTTCATCGCTCATTTTAATCACGCTGCAGCATAAACACTCAGTGGCAGTTCAAAGGCGCATGCTGACACACAAGCGGCGCATTCTACGTGTTTGCTGACAAGTTGCTTTAAGCAGATTGATATAGAGCGTATATCGTCTGCAACCGGGACTCCAGTGAGAATAACCGGTCCACAGAATGGATAGACACTCAAAGACTTTGCCTATGTCCACAAACGGGCTATTTCTCTTGTTTACAAACAACAAATCACTTCTCCTTTGCCTAAATAGTCCATCCACCTCACAGGAGTAGCATATTGAGATACCGATTAGACAGCATGATAATTGCACAGACGTGCCTCTGGCTGCACGTAATAAAAAGCTACTCGCTTATCAACTCAGGATCTGGCGTAGCCACCAATCACCTCGTGTAGCCCAACACATCTCCTTCGCCTGGAATTTATTAGGTGTGTAAAGTTGCTGGATATTGACAAAAACTGGAAAGCGCCGTCGTCGAAACTGATCCAGGAGCATTCCAAACATACACAATGAGTAACAGGATGACACGAGAGACTATGTCTGCCGTATTGTTGGATCTGCGGCATCCGATAGGGTGAACCACAGTATTGTGTTGGCTCATTTGCAGCACCAGGTGTAATGTCCACCTGGTGCTGCAAATGAGCGGTGGTAGTGGTAGTGATTTAGAGTGGTTTGGATGCTATTTGCGAGAAAAAACTTTTTTTGTGTTAGCCTTGGTTGCTTTTGAGCACCGCTCTGCCCCACTATGGTACGGTGTTCCACAGGGCTCAATTTTGGGGCCCCTGCAGTTTTCATTGTATTTTCTGTCCCTGGGTTCCATCTTAAAAAAGCAAGGTCTTGCCTTTCACTGCTATGCGGATGTCAGTCAGCTCTATTTTTCCCGCTGAGCAAAAAAGGACACTTTCTCAACTGAAGCTCATAGCAGGGATCACATAACTCCACTTCTGTCCAGACTGCCATAAAAGCCATCAAAAATTTCTGTCATATCGTGCAGGATATCTGCAACAGACAAACACGTGAAGAAAGGTGTGAATGATGCATCGCGATGCACCGTGAGAAAA